GGTATGCAGAGCTGTATATTAGAGAAGTTATTAGATTGCATGGAGTACCTGTTTCCATAGTCTCTGATCGAGACCCTCGATTCACTTCTAGATTCTGGAAATCTTTGCATGGAGCGTTGGGAACTCGTTTAAACTTTAGTACGGCTTTTCATCCTCAGGCTGATGGGCAATCAGAGAGAACTATTCAGATATTGGAAGATATGCTGAGAGCATGCGTAATGGAATTTAAAGGATCATGGGAAAAGTATTTACCGCTGGCAGAGTTCGCTTACAACAATAGTTATCAGTCGAGTATAAAGATGGCTCCCTATGAAGCTCTTTATGGAAGGAAATGTCGTACGCCTTTGAACTGATACGAGCTTAAAGATAAAGAAGTGCTTGGTCCTGAGTTGATTCAGGAAGTAGAAGAAAAGGTCTTGATAATTCAGAGTAATCTCAAAGCTGCAGCAGACAGACATAAATCATATGCAGATCTAAAAAGGAAAGAAATTGAATTTCAAGTTGGAGATAAAGTGTTTTTAAAAGTGTCTCCATGGAAGAAGGTGTTGAGATTTGGTCGGAAAGGAAAATTGAGTCCTCGGTTTATTGGACCATATGAGATTGTAAAGAAAGTAGGACCTGTAGCATATCAGCTAACTTTACCACCTGAGATGGAAAAGATACATGATGTTTTTCACGTTTCAATGCTTCGAAGATATAGATCTGACCCTTCTCATATCGTGACACCAGAAGAGATTGAGGTTCGTCCTGACTTGACTTATGAGGAAGAACCGATTCAAATTTTAGCACATGAAGTTAAGCAATTGAGGAACAAGATTATTCCTTTGGTCAAAGTGTTGTGGAGAAATCACAAAGTAGAAGAAGCAACATGGGAGCGTGAAGAAGATATGCGACATCAATACCCTCATTTGTTCGTGCAATGAAAATTCGAGGATGAATTTTCTTAAGGGGGAGAGATTTGTAACATCCTCCATGTCGGGTGAGTGATTAATTTGCAAAGTTTCAACATTTGGTGATTAAAGTAGAATAATTATATAGTTTAATAAGTATGGTTAGTAAATATGAGATGGAGGTAAGGACCAAATGGTCATTTGTAAGGAAATTTTAATTAAAATAAAATGTTATGGGGTTATATGAGAACCCACGTGTGACATTAGGTTTCCAGAACCCTCCCATTTCTTCTTCCTTTTTCCTTATTTTCTTCTCTTCCTTCTCTCAACGTGGAGCTTGCAAGTAAAGGTAAGAATCTGAACCTTGGTAGTTTCTTTGATTTTTAAGATTGGAAATGAAAGTTTGGATGTTATATAAGCTAAAGGAAAGCTTATATGACATTAAAACAACAAGATAAGTGTTTTAGAGATAGATTTGGAAAATGAATATTTAGATGAAATTTTGATAGGAATGAGTTTTTGAAGTTTGAATAAGATTTTTGACTTGTCAAGAAGCTAACTAAGAAGTATGAGGTGTTAGAATTCAAATTAGAACATATTGGAATTTGGGTTGGATTCTTAAATTCTACATGGAGAATTAGATTTCTAGGTTTTAGAGGTATTTAATGGATAATAATTAGTTAAAGTAAGTGTATGAAAGCTAAGAGTAGTAAAGAGAGTGAAATATGTATGTTTGAGCTGAAATGGGATGATTTCCGAGCTCAAAATAGGATTTCTGGGTTAGGGGAAGCGGTACCCATTCAAGGGGAACCGATACCCCCTCAACGAATATGAATTTCTAGAATACTAGAGGGGAATCGATACCCCCATGGGGGAACCGATACCCCCTCAACGGATATGAAATTCCAGAATGCTAGAGGGGAACCGATTCCCCTATGAGAAAAAAAAAGAGAAGAAAAGAAAGAAAGACTAAGCTATTAATTTCTTAAATTAATAAGCTATTAAAGCTTAATTGCAAGACATAGACATCTGATGATCATCTTGAAAATTATGTTTATGTAGATACCGAGCCTACACAAGTTCGGGAACAATCTACCAGTAGGATCGATCGAGGAAAAGGCAAAGAAGTATAGGTGAGTGCATATGCATAGCATGATTTTAGAAATATACTCCATTCTAGACTTGTGATAAGTCTAGATTTTATATCTTGGTACATGAGCATAGTCGATATTATGAGACATGACATGAATTCATATAAAATGCATTATATGACATGACTATGTGGGAAAAGTTATGAGCTATGTGAAAAGGTAAGAATTTACATGTCTACGCGATATAGACTACTTGAAATGTAAAAGCCCATGTTATGTAGATGAGAACTATAGGTATAGTTGGCATGCCAAGGGTAGAGGGTATACTCGGTTCTTTAGGACATATGTATATCCTTTGGAACCTGTGTGAAGTCTTGAAAGACACATACTTGATCCATAGTATATGTATATGATTCTTAAGGAATTCTATGTGGTCCTTATGGACATCATTATATGGCACTACGGTGCAATTCTACGGGGCACTTCGGTGCAATTCTACGGGGCACTTCGGTGCATTTATACGAGCTGTGGTGACAGCATAGTGCACAACCTCACATTACTCAAATACCTTAGGTTCTCAATATGCTATCATGGGCCAATAAACTTATTAATACAGATTCATAAATGTTACAGTCATACGCTTACAGGTATGGGTATTGATGATGTATACTACATTAATTAAGTACATGTTTGCATTTCATCTCATATGATCATGACATTTTCATTACAATTGCCTTATTATTATTGCCTCACTAAGTCGATGACTTAGCGTGTGAGTGTTTCACACGTAGGATCCGAGGAAATAGACGAGACAGGTGAAGCAGCTTGACAGTATTACTCCTGCAACCATCAGATCAGAAGCAACTTAATCAGTAGGTCATTTTGTTATGTAAATGGCAGTTGGCATGTAATTAAAGAGTTAAGTTGTGTATGCTCTGAATATTTTGGTAAACTTATATTACAGTATGTATATTATTGTATTTTCTTAATATAAGTACAAATATTTTACTATTACTTGTTAAGAGTTGTGTTTTAAAGTCAATGTAGTATCTCTGACTCATATCCGGGTCGGGTATGGGTTGGGGGTGTTACAATTACAATGATTTTAAAACCTATTTTACTGAAATAAACTACTATTGCTTTTAAATTATGATTACATTTATTCTGGTTTTGAGGAAACACACTTGACTCTTTATCTCAATCTCTTGAGTCTCTGTGTGTGAATATTTCCTTCAGATTTTGATTTCATGACAGTTACTTGAAGAAATGATTAATGAAATCTGAGCTCGTCAGTAGAACTTGATGATGTCTATATCGTTAAGAAAATTCATGCTTTACTTATACCTGATGGCCTATTGCATTCATCTGGTAGTTCTGTATTACTGAGATTTCCAAAGCTCACTCTTTACTCACCATTTGAGGTTAAAATAATCAATCCAGTGCAGCTGACAACTTTAGCATTAAGAGTTCTTTTGGCTTTGCTTGCAGAGTACGATAAATGTGTAATTAGGGTGCATGTAGATTGTATTTTGTTTTTATATTCGAGTCTGAAATTTATTTTACTACTGGATATTAGTGGATTTTATTTTAATATATAAATACTTTTTTGAACTTGTATTTTATCTATAAATTATTTTACGGTGTTAAATTAACTAAAAAAATTTAATTTTTTCTTATTTTTTACAGTAAGCGAACTGGCCATGCTGTCCTTGTCCCTGAACCAGTGGCACCTGGAGCTGCAGTTTCAACTGCTGAAAATTTATGGCGAACAAAAATGCAGAAGAGAAGATCTCGAAGATCGCCATCGCCAATGGTATCTCCTGCGCTAGAGGAAACCCAGTCTCCTCCTCATGGCCAGGACAAGTTTGTCCAGGTTGAAGGCGGTTTCGCCTGTGCCCTTGATCTGGTTAAACATATTAGAGCTAAATATGGTGACTACTTTGGCATAACGGTTGCCGGTTATCCAGAGGCTCATCCTGATGCTATGGGAGATAACGGTCATTAGAACGATCTTGTTTACTTGAAGAGAAAGGTTGATGCAGGAGCTGATCTGATTGTTACTCAACTGTTTTATGATGAGATTAATGCTGCCTTAGAGCCTATCAAGGACAACGATGAAGCTGTCCAAGCCTATGGGATTCAACTTGGAACAGAAATGTGCGGCAAAATTTTAGCTAATGGGGTTAAGACGTTACACCTTTACACGTTAAACATGGAGCAGGATCACATCTTGAAAGCTAATGGTATGGTCAATTGTTAAGAGTTTTTTGAGTAGTTTGTTTACATTTAGAGTTTGCCGGGAGTTCAATTTCTTGCTGTCATTGGAAACAACTTTGTAATAAGTATGATAATATAGTCCTTTAAAAAAATGTCAAAGAATCTTGTATAAGAGGATGAAGAAGAAAGAAATGAAGGTGAATAAGAAGAAAGAAATGAAGCATCAGCACTTTCGATTCAAAGTGAACGGAAGGAAGCATCGGCACTTTCGATTCAAGAAGAACGAAAGGAAGCACCGACACTTTCGATTCAAGTGAACGGAAGGAAGCGTCAGCACTTTCGATTCGGTTGTTCATCTTTTCAATTGTTTAGGGCTAAGATGTGTGTGTTACCTTGTTGAAGGAGGAGAAGAAAGTAGAGGGAATGTTAGCATGTTAAACCAGCTAATGCAGTATGTACAATTGCAGTGTAGTTCGAAGCTTCCTGAAGATGAAGCGGTTATGGTAGCTGAGGTTGTTAGCAAGTTAATTTTGATTAGTTGTTCAGTTAAGGTGGTTGTTGTAGCTGTTAAGAGCAGCAGTATATAAAGAGCATTGATCTTGTACTTGAAGATTCATTCATAGTATCAATAAACCAGTTTACATTCTGTTGCTTACCTTACTTCCAATATGGCATCTCAAATCGGATCGGGTCACCCACATCAATTTGAGGGTGTTATACAAAACAAAAAGATAGACTTCGCATAAACGACCGAATCCATTAAAGGTCTGATGGAAGGTAAAAAAGGAGGATCAGAACTTACCTGAGTCGACTCGGGATTAAGATCGTGATTTGGCGCAGAGCTTTAGGAGATGCCTAACTATGCCTTGTTTTAATGCAATATATTTGACGACAGCCTTCCGTTTGGATATATTTCAAACAGGAACCGACTGGCACTTCCACGCAGCACTAACCAATCAGTTTTAACCACGTCATCCGCTCACCAAACAGAATAACAACCAAACTTGCCTGTCTACGCGTTAGGCTCTCTGGGCTTCAAGTTGGCCCAATTTCATATATATAAATATTTGAGTAAATTATTTGAGCAAATTATTTGAATATCAAGTGTCAATACAGATTTAATATAGAAAATATTTAAAATTTATAAATCAAGATTTTTAGTATATACATATATTTTATAGATAATTTAAATTTGTCATGTAAAAAATGTCTGTAATTAAAATTTGACATGGTTAATTTTATTAATATATCATATCTAAAATGTCCATACAATAATATATCATATTTAAGTCTTGATACACATATTTTAAATATAATCTAAAACATATTTAAGTTGATAATTAATATTCAAATAATTTTTTAAACCAGCGTAATGACATGTTTAAAATAATATTGATACTTTAAAGATTAATTAAAAACATTTTAAATTTATAATAATTTATAACTTGAACCACAATCTAAGAATATATCATGCAATTAACTCTAAAATATCCCTATTTGGTTGAAAAATGGAAATACTCATGTTATATCTAGATCTTCAATAATTCTGATGTAAATGTTCCTGAGTACATTTTTAATACACTCGAATCTTAAATAATTTTTGAAACATCAATTTCTGAATGTTGATTAGATCTACTAATGAACAAACCCTTTTTATAGGGACATCGATTCTGAATTTCATCCAATCTACATAAGTTATATGTTTTCCTTCCTGATAACGGTAAATTGCATCCGAAAAATAACTGAATCTTCTGGTGTGTTCCCTATATGTTACCTGACCGTTTTATTTGTATTAAAATTATAAATGGATATCTGGTTGATTTACTATTGTTTTTACTAATTGATATAATGATTTATTGGTTCCTTGTTTTACTGGAAAAATGAAATATGCCTGAAGTATGGATCATGAAACTGCTGATTACTACTTGAACCGTTTTATTGGGACACTATCTGGGTAGGATGGAGTATGGAGGTTTAGCTTTGATCAAGCTGGCAATTCCATACGGACCTAAGGTGACCATGGGTAGGCTCTCAGGTCCCAAGGCATTCCCTTAGGTTGGCTCCTAGGTCCATTGGCCCTTGGTAAGTCCTTATGGATGCAGGTATGGGGAACTGCATATGGTGTACGGTGGAGGCCATTTATGTGATTTAAATAACTACATTGTCATTTTTACATCATTTTACTGGATCATGATTTTGATATTAAAGTTATTGCTCAATATGAATTCTACTGGATACTATATGGGTAGGAGTCTAGAGTACGGAGGTTTAGCTCTTATCAAGCTGGTAAATCCATATGGACCTAAGGAGACTCTTGGGTAGGCCCATAGGCCCCAAGGTACTCCCTTAGGGTGGCTCCTTTACTGTGTGTTTAGGGTAAGTCCTTATGAATGTAGTTCTAGGGACTGCATATAGAGTATTCGGGTGGATGGTATTATAATGATTTTAAAACATATTTTACTGAAATAAACTACTATTGCTTTTAAACTATGATTATATTTATTTTGGTTTTGAGGGAACACACTTGACTCTTTATCTCAATCTCTTGAGTCTCTCTATGTGAATATTTCCTTTAGATTTTGATTTCATAATAGTTACCTGAAGAAATGATTAATGAAATCTGAGCTCGTCAGTAGAACTTGATGATGTCTATATCGTTAAGAAAATTCATGCTTTACTTATACCTGATGGCCTATTGCATTCATCTGGTAGTTCTTATTACAGAGATTCCCAAAGCTCACTTTTTACTCACCATTTGAGGTTAAAATAATCAATCCAGTGCAGCTGACAACTTTAGCATTAAGAGTTCTTTTAGCTTTGCTTGCAGAGTACGATAAATGTGTAATTAGGGTGCATGTAGATTGTATTTTGTTTTTATATTTGAGTCTGAAATTTGTTTTACTACTAGATATTAGTGGATTTTATTTTAATATATAAATATTTTTTTGAACTTGTATTTTATCTATAAATTATTTTACGATGTTAAATTAACTAACAAAATTTTTAAATTTTTCTTGATTTTTTACTATTGGTCGCTCCGATAATTTTAATGTGACACCTCAAATCAAATCGGGTCACCTACATCAATTTAAGGGTGTTATACAAAACAAAAAGATAGACTTCGCATAAACGACCGAATCCATTCAAGGTCTGAAGGAAGGTAAAAAAAAAGGAGGATCAGAACTTACCTGAGTCGACTCGGGATTAAGATCGTGATTTGGCGCAGAGCTTTAGGAGATGCCTAACTATGCCTTGTTTTAATGCAATATATTTGACGACAACCTTCCGTTTGGATATATTTCAAACAGGAACCGATTGGCACTTCCACGCAGCACTAACCAATCAGTTTTAACCACGTCATCCGCTCACCAAACAGAATAACAACAGCCAAACTTGCCTGTCTACGCGTTAGGCTCTCTGGGCTTCAAGTTGGCCCAATTTCATATATATAAATATTTGAGTAAATTATTTGAGCAAATTATTTGAATATCAAGTGTCAATACAGATTTAATATAGAAAATATTTAAAATTTATAAATCAAGATTTTTAGTATATACATATATTTTATAGATAATTTAAATTTGTCATGTAAAAAATGTCTGTAATTAAAATTTGACATGGTTAATTTTATTAATATATCATATCTAAAATGTCCATACAATAATATATCATATTTAAGTCTTGATACACATATTTTAAATATAATCTAAAACATATTTAAGTTGATAATTAATATTCAAATAATTTTTTAAACCAGCGTAATGACATGTTTAAAATAATATTGATACTTTAAAGATTAATTACAAACATTTTAAATTTATAATAATTTATAACTTGAACCACAATTTAAGAATATATCATGCAATTAACTCTAAACATTAAACAATTAAATTTTAATTAAATTGCTATGGTTATTGTAATAATATATTTTGATTAGAAGTACACCAAACTCCTAATAAATTATGATTTTAAGTAGTTCATACATATTTGTATATATGCTGAAAAGATGTTAACATTTAATAAAAAGAATACTGCACTGCATGAAATCAATCCATAGTTGAAAGTGGTGAAGCAAAGATTCTAAGGTGGGGTTTGGTTTGCTGGAATTCCTTGGAATTAGGGGGAATTGTAATTTAATTCCACAACTTTCTCATATTTGGTTCAAGTTTTCAAAGGGAGAATTGAAATCCAATTTCATCAAGGGAGGGAAAGTAAATCACATTCATAACTTGATGAAATTAAAATCCTTTAAAGGAGGGAATGTGAAATTTGACCATATTACCCTCATCAATTTTTTGGTATTCGGGTTGGAATTTTTTAAAAAAAAATCGGGTACGGGTCGGGTCGGGTTTTTTTTTAAAAAAATCGGGATCGGGTCGGATTTTTAAAAAAATCGGGTTCGGGTCTGGTTTTTTTAAGTTTGATATTCGGGTCGGGTTTTTTTAAGTGTGATATTCGGGTCGGGTTTTTTTAGTGTGATATTCAGGTGGGATTCGGGTTTTGGGTGAAAAATACCCGACCCGAAAAAAAAAATATAATTTTACCTTATATATTTAGGAATAATTACAATAATACCCCTCTATTTATAATTTTTTTCAATTAAGTCATTGTTTTCTTTGAATAAAAATACTTTTTTTATTATTTCGGGTCGGGTAGGGTTTCTAATTCATATATTTGGGTTGGGTGAAACTTTATTTTAGTCGGGTCGAGTCTCGGGTGGAGGTTCTCTTGTTCTCTGGTCGGGTCGGGTCGGGTGGACCAAAAACCCGACCCATGGCCATCCCTAATTGGGATGATTTTAACTTATGATGTTTGTTAGTATGATTTTTATAATTTATTGAAATGAATAATCAATCAAAAAAATTTAAATTTAAATTTTTTAAAAAAATTCTAATATATTGCTACATGTAAGTTATAAAAGAAACTAAAATTAAGCAAAAAAATAAGAAGGGTTCTGTCATTTTATATTATTGAAATCAAATTCATCTGACATGTATGCGAACCAAACAGAATATAGAATTGGATTCCAATTCAATTTCCTGCCAACCAAACATGTTTCAGATTTAGATTCCAATTCCCTCATATTCCAATTCCTTCACAGATTTCAATTCCCTCATAAACATTCCAACGAACCAAACGCTACCAAAGGAGTTATCGTGACAGAAAATAAAGGAAGGGGGTCCCTTTTTATTGTAGCATTCAATTCTTCTTCTCTACTTTGGGGTTTATTATAACCTACCATGATTATTGATTATTATTGTTTGGAGTTTGGACCATGGAAGCTGAAATGTCCATTCCTTTGCACTGCAACTTGCTGAAGACATTGTGCAGGTATATGTCGTAGGAAAATATAATTAAAAGAACCAGCTTCAGTTTTCATTTGAGCACCCCCATCACCATCACCATCATTCGATAGGAGTATAAATGATCGTGACGTTCAATGCATTGTTGGTGTATTATTAGTTTATTAAATTAAATAAATGAGTATAATTAAAAAATTTATATTCATTTAATAAATTAATATATATGTATTCGGTTCACATATAAGCTCATTTATCGATTCCATTACCCAATTCTATTTTATTTTTTTATATTTTAAATATTGACGAAGGTAGGGATTAAGTTGAACATAGGATGACATTATATTTCAAAATGTGAAATCTAAGGAACTTAAGGACTCGTTGCATAATTTCATGACTTTTATGAATATTTCTGAACATATAAAGGAAGGTGCGTGAGAACACTAAATAATCATGTATAAGAATATTAAATAAATATATTTATGAATGATAAACGAACCAAATATAAACACCTTTAAAAATAAATAAATGAACGCAACATTTAAAATTTATAAATGAAGAGATATCAAACATAAATTACCTTTAGAAATAAACAAACAAATCCAAATACTACATTACTCATAAAAAGAAATGAAGAGTTAATCTTAGTCTTTGATTTTCTTCATCTAACACTAAAAATGCGTAAAACTAAAAATATTACGCTAGGTTTAAGTGGATCCTAACCCTTTACACACACACATATATATAAATTAATGTTAGGATTGACTTACACAATGTAAAACTCTTTAGTTTTACATAGATTTAGGACCTTTGGATGATTGAAAATAGATGACTAAGATTGACTCATTGTTTTTTTCCCCAATGAATATATTCTTATTTCATACTGTTAATCTCAGTCATATAATTTTACTCATCCAATGACCCTAAATTTATATAAAACTAAAAATAATTTTACATTGTGTAACTGGATCTTATTTATATATAAATGTGTGTCTGTATATATATATGGACCAGAATCTTTCTCACTCTTCAATTGATTGTGTTATCTCCACCATAATAAAACCTAGGGAACCTCATTTTACTATTTTTCCTTTACCACTTGTGTCTTTATGACTACATTCTTGTCCGAGCCATTAAATTTGAGAAACAAAGCTCGATGCACGTCAAAACCAAACGCAGCAATTAGTTCCAGAAAAGAAAAGGATATAGTTTCTTTGAAATGAGTCAGTGTGTTCCCAGTTTGGATCTGGACGATAATCATGCCACCGTCCGCCACTCCCTCCGCTCTAACTCCAACTCCACCTCCCCCGATGTTCATATGTAAGCTCTGAAACTGGTCTCAACTGAATCTGTGATTTAGTAAGTTCTCTTGTTTTATTTGATGTTTGTGATATACTTGGCAGGTCGGACTATGAAGTAGCGGAATTAACATGGGAAAATGGTCAACTAGCCATGCATGGTTTAGGTTCGGCACGTGTTCCGGCTAAGCCCTTGATTTCCAACGCTCCTTCTAAGTACAATACTTGGGATAAACCACAGGCTAATGGCACTTTGGAGTCCATAGTGAACCAAGCCATTCGTCTTCCGTATCTTAAGGTTTCTCTTCACGGCGGAGGGGATGAAATTGTACCCTGTTTAGACCAACGCAGTGCTGCGGCGGATGCTTTGGTTCCTTGCTCGAAAAGGTCGCCCGAGGATCATCGGACCGTGGACATGATGGAATCTATACCGGAAGTCGGAGGATCTCGCTTGGGGGGATGCTCTACTAGGGTGGGATCCTGCAGTGTGCAGGCCGGTACACGAGACGATGATGTACTCGTCACCGGGAAACGTACACGGGTGGCTGCGGGACGTGTTTCTGTAACACCGGAGTGGAGCGGCAAGGAACAAAGCGCCAGTGCCACGTTCGGAAGAGGTAGCCAATACGTTACTTTTGATACGTATGAGAAAGATTCGGACTTGGGCTTTACATTTACTTCTAATTCCCTTGGTTCCCTGGAAAACACAAGCTCTACAAAACCCTGTACCAGGGCCTCCACCAACACCGCTGATGATCATGATTCTGTTTGTCATAGTACACCCCAGGTAAAGTTGTTCCATTTAATTATTATTGCATCGTGAAACTACATTTGTTTCTCATTCTTATTCTGGTTGTGTTAAAGAGGGAGAGAATGGAGGAGGACAAGAAGGAAACTGGGAAATCTTCAGTTTCAAATAAAAGAAGTAGAGCTGCTGCCATCCATAACCAGTCTGAACGTGTATGCTCTCTGCAAAGCTTTAGTTTGAACCTTTTTAACAAGAAGGAAGTATTAATTATGTTATTTGGGTGATTTTCCAGAAAAGAAGAGATAAGATAAACCAAAGGATGAAGACGTTACAGAAGCTGGTTCCCAATTCTAGCAAGGTACGACTTTTTTTTTTTTCTCATCTCATCTCTGTCAGTTGTGTAATGTACGGAGGTAGTATTGTTGGCAAAATATCACTGCAAATTTTGTTGAATAAAAAATGAAAGATGCTTTCTTCTTTGTTTTCATCTTGAGAGTTACTTTTACTAAAAACTTCGAAACAACTTCATCCACTCACCTAGGACAAACTTTTCGTGTCGTCGTCCACAAGATTTTCTTAAACGTATATTTAATACTAATCCACTTCAGATTCTCCTTCATGCATCGTCTTTATTCTTAAGCAGCTTTTAATTATAGACTCTTTTATTCTTAGTAAAAGAATAGTCGGCATGGCATATATGTGATTAGACGTAAAGTTATGAAGATTGCTTCGATTTTGATATCGTCTTTGATGCTTGAGGTATACATACTTTATACAGCAGTTACACATGTATATAATATTATTGTTTTTGTGTTTATTACAGACGGACAAAGCTTCAATGCTCGACGAAGTGATTGACTATCTCAAACAACTGCAAGCACAAGTTCACATGATGAATAGGATGAACGTACCACCACCAATGATGTTGCCGATGGCAATGCAACAGCAACTCCAAATGTCCATGATGGCTCCGGCGATGAGGATGGGTATGGGTGTTATGGATATGAACAGTATCATCCGTCCCAACATCGCCGGCATCTCGCCCATTATGCCTAATCCTTTCATGAACATGACTTCTTGGGACGGCTCCGGTGAACGGTTACAACGAGCTGCCTCTGCTGCAATGCCGGACCCTCTTTCCTTGTTCTTGGCGTGCCAATCACAGGTACCATTTGTTTTCCATCATTTTAAAAACATCATACCCCACAGATATGATATAATGTATGTATCGTCTGTTTGGTGCAGCCGATGAGCAGGGATTCTTACAGCCGGTTGGCCGCTATGTATCAGCAGATGCAACAACCACCGGCTTCTGGTTCTAAGAGTTAAGCTTCAAGCCATTACTTTTAGCTACGTTTATATATATATATATATATATATATACAAGAAGTTATTTATTTCTTAATTCAAGCATGTGACTGGTAAAGTAGTTTGATTGCTTCAAATTGTTTCTCTTTGAATTTGTATTTTCAATATCAATAATATGTAATGTAATAACAAAAGACTATAGTACTAAAATTCACTGGGTAGTCGACCTGTACTGTAATTGAATGGTGGGTAATATCAATCAACATCTGTATTTTTTGTCAACTTTTCCGGGCATCTTAACTTGTGGTGTTCACAAAAAGATAAACATGTAAATGATTGGATACTCAATTGTCAAGTTGTATTAAGGAATCGCCACATAAGTTTCTCCATTTTCAATTTCTTCATTAACATTGGCCTTTTTGGATAATTTGAAGTATATATATATATATATGATCTTGTGATAAATTTAGCCTTCAAAAATCAAGGATAATTAATAACGTGATCTGTAGACAGTGGTTTTCGTCCCCAATATTATTAGTATAATGATTATTATTATAATGACTATTATTATTATTATTATTATTATTATTATTAAATAATAATTACATTAAGTCCATAATACAAGCCCGCAAAATTACAACAATTCCAAGCCCAGATTGGGGCATTAACAGTTAGGCCTGAGGAGCCCAAAACCTAGCTAGGGTTTTCCATATTCAGCTTCCAGCCGCCGCACAACTCTCCACCGTCATATCTGGGAGTGATCTCACGGTCCAAGTGGCCCATCAACTAGGGTTTTACCCGCCTCCATCATCAATCGTTGGATCTGATCAGATCAAACGATTTAGATTTCCCATCATTTAGAGTTTTTACCATACTATCAGTCTATCGCCTCCATTAAAAACCACCAACCAATGCATGAGGCTCCACTCAACCATTGCAATGTGAGCCGCCGATATCACCGGTCAGATCCAAAAGATCTGGGTGCATTTAATACACCCAGCCGCCCCTAGTCATCCACCGCCATATATAGGTGACTCAGAGGGAGTTCCTCATTCCAAGCGGTAATAGGAGTAAACTCTGGGTCCTATAAAAGAACCCACATGCAAGAGAGAAAAGAGGAGAGAGAGGAGGGAACCAGCAAACAGTCGAATGAAAAAACAACAACAAGCCAAAAAAGTAGAAAACTGAAAAAGAAAAGAGAAAGAAAAGAATGACTTACCCTGGTTCACCGAAGCCTCTAAACGTCGTCGGGCAACCTCTATTCCAAAGGTAAACATCTAGATATAGGATGGTGTAGAAACTTTTAGGACGTGGGAAGGTGTTTTTCGGGTTTAGGGTGTGGAGAGCTTTGTTTTGAGGTAATTTTTAGGTCGCCAGCCGCTGTGGGCTGCGGCAGATATCTTTGGTAAGTGGTGATCGAAGGCTGCCAGCTGCCGGCCTCCCTCCGACGAAGAGAGTATAGAGAAGCCAGAGAGAAAGAATCATTCTCTTTAAGAGAGAGAAAGGAAATTGAGAAATGAGTGAGTTGGGTAATTTCAGCCTATGTATTGGGTATTTATACCTAATCTAAAACGACGTCGTTTCAGGGGCGGAGTAGTGCGTTTTGGGCGTATGAGAAAAGCATTCCCGCAGCCATCGTAAATTGTAAACTTTCATTTTGGTCTCCGCAATGAAGTTTCATTTATTTTGATTTGGATCTCAATTTTAATCCGTTTTTATTTTAGTTATTGCTCGTATATACATGCATTTTGGGTAAATATCTGATTTAGTCCTTTTATTTTAATAATTTTCATTTTAATCCTAGATATTGATGATGGTTAAATTACAATTCCAGTACTTAGCTTGGATGATGTTTCTATTTATGGCCATTATTTTTGCTTGGATTACAGTTTAGTCCTCAAATTTTAATATTTTATTATTTTTGTCCTGAATGAATGAAATTGGATTATTTACAATTGTAGTGCCTAATCTGTAAAATATTTGCAGTGGTTGCCATGATTTCTTGTTGGTTATATAGCTTAATCCTTAAAGTTAACATTTTTATTATTTTGATCTATCATTTACATTTTTTTAGTTTCTTGCTAATTGTAATATTTTTAAATATTATTTAACTCGAAGAATTTATAGAAACGTGCCTTAACTGACAAGGAATGTGTTTCCAAGAATTGTTTGAATAAGATAATGTATTCTATGTTTGAAGGAATTTATTTTTGATATATTTAATAGATGTCTTTTATCTAAATTCGGGCCATATTCTTTTGTACGTGGAATTCATAAAAATACCCCCTTAAGACTGACAAGGAAGGTATTTTCAAAAATTATTCGTGTAAAATAATATCTCTTTTAAATTTTCCAAAAAAGGATCACAATTTAAATGTATATTCAAGTTTGCCAATTTCAATATTTAGATGACGTATAATCACTTAGGTACAAATTTTGGGCGTTGTGGGGGTTCTAATCCTTCCCCACACGTAATCGGCTCCCGAACCATTTTCAAAACGAATTTCTGGTTAAACGCAAATAATTTTTTTTATCTTTTAAAATCATTTTTCTTAATTTTTTTTAAAATGTATTATTAGTTATTCGACTTACCTAATCCAAATATCGATGACAACTCAAAATTTATTTTAAAATTCAACATTTTCCAAAATTAAGTTGGATCGATTTAGGTCATAGCCCTAAAAATGCTGTAAGGACCGTTCCGATATGACCTCTTTGAATTATTTTTCTTTTTCTTCATTTTTAAAAAAAATTAAAAACGTGGGCTGCTTTTCAACGAAGGGACCCCAAAAGATATTAGATTTAGCAGTTGTAAACATCAACTACGTGAATGCGATAGGCAACCATATCTTGTTTAAAGCATATAAAAGAGTGTGTGATTGGAGATTGGAACGCTTGGAATATAAGATCACCACATGCTTCCGTTTTTACATTTTTCTCTCGTCCCACCTAAATTTCTCAAGGATGAGCATAAATCAGTTCTAGTTTATTTAATCACCTCATTGTTGGGTAGAACAAAAGGTTCTTAACTTTGGGGTCGTAGGATCGAGTCCTACGGAAGGCATTTCATAATTCGGAGATCTCCTACGGAAGCTGCTCTCAACCTGGCGTTGGGGGCAGCCTACTATCCTACCTCCCCTTATCCCATTACATATGGGAATAAGGGTCAGCTTATTTTATTGTCGGGTGGGATAGAACTATAAACTTATTAAAACAGAGTTAAAATAATATTTCTATTTTTCATAAACATTTTTTGAATTAAGGGAAGTCAAGTAAATCTTTTTTATTTTTAAAAATATTTTTTTTAATATTAATTAATACTTAAAAAAATAATTGGAGGGACAAAGCTCGCCTTGCCCCATGATGTTCCGCCTATGATTGCCGGTTAAGTTAGTTGTATTGATTTGGTTGATTTTGATAAATTGATCAACTATAGGTTATTAAAATTTATGATCCAATCAACTAAGTATGTTAATATTTTATTTGTAATATATAATTAGAATATAATAAGTATGCATATAATTAAAAATAAATTGATTTAATCAATCAAATCTATAAATATTATTTTTTTGAGTAATAATTAATTTTATTAAATAAAGACTCTAAAATTACATGAATAATCTAAACAAAATAATAATAATCTAATTATATAAACCAAATATTTCTTCTAAAGTCATTGGAGTGCACAAATAAGCCCCTAGTGTTACAGGTAAGGTTTTCTTCCCCAAAACAAATGTCTAAAATGTATAGAATATGATAGGGAGTATATATTTAGAATATTTTTTAATTATTGGTAATATATATATATATATATATATATATATATACTACATATGTAATTGTTCAGAATTAAAAATTATATGGAGAACAACACCCTCTTTTATCATTAAGTCATTTGATACGTGCAACAAAAATCATTTCTATCATTATTATATTGATATGATCGTTAATAATAATGGGTGACATTCTGCATGTAAATAATGATTTATAGAGATTAAATAATAAATTAAATTATATATTAAATTGGTGAATTACTTTAAGTACAGATATGAAAATATGAATCATACCATTAATCTTGCAGTAAAATGAGTATAATTTTTTAAAACATAAATGAGTATAAAATTAAAGCACGAGCATAATATATTAAATTAAGTAATTAGAGTATGAAAACAATGACAAGAAGTTTAAAGTATTCATTCCTAATTATTGATCAGTTTCAATTAATGTAATTGGAAATTTAATCAACTAATCACATATCAAATTGAATTGATATTAGTATGAAAAATACTGACATTAAGTTTGTTGACTCCAATTTATAAGTATTTATCAATTCTACTTAATCGTATAATTATTTATCAAATTAAATTATACATATTATTTATAAGTAGTTATATGTATCTTATATAATAGAATATTCATATTATTATATTATGTAATATCATATTATATATTTTTATAATTCGATCATATAGATTATGTTGTACTAATCACGAACATTATTATAATACATGGTTGATGGAAATTATGTTACACATATTTAATGAAAATATTTTCATAATTAATGTTATATAGTATAACTTTAATATGTAGTTAGAATGACAAAATGATTGTACGCTGGATACTAAAAATCAAATTTTGTCTCAACCGGAGTTAATCTCATTTCCTGTTTTATCTTTATAATTGATGACTACATTAATTTTGATATCAATCATTAACGGTCGGTGTTTATTTATTTATTTATTATTTTATTATATTGTATCTTTATTTTTTTATTTTGTTAATAATTCTGACTTTATAACATATTTTTATCTGTTTTTATGATATGTTTTCTTTTACCTTTTGACATATTTTTAATCTTTTGGATGTTATTTTCATTTTTTCCTTTTTTTTCATAGTTGAATTGGCATCGTTATAACTTATCAATATTGTGCTTACTTGTTCATG